GCCGGGGGTATTTATTTGGGGGCGGGTGGCGAGGCGTTCAATGTTGACAAAATTAATTGCTGCCGTCGGGGGAAAATGTGCCTTGGCGGATCCGGAAGCCATGAGCGGAGGGGTGCTGAATACGGACGCGCTGTAAGACAGCACCGAGAGCGAGCACCCCGATGCCACCCCCTCAGGCTGTCGAGTCTCTGTGCTAGCCCCCTGCGGCGGCCGTGTCGTCAAAAGCGACGACGACAAGGAAGGCACTACGTCAGTTCTTACACCTCCCGCACCACCACCGTCGCCGTCACGGGCTGCTTGCAGACGGGGCACTTGCGGAGCATGCCCTTGGCGTGGAGCTGCGCCGCGTCCGTCGGGCAGAGGCACATGTGGCCGCACGGCGCCAGCGCCACGCGCGACTCCGCCTCCGCGCACACCACACACGTAGAAGCCTGCTTCTTGCGCTCCTCCTCCAAGGCGTCGGCGGCCGCCCGCGCCGCCGTCAGCGCCCGGTTCTTCGCCAGGGCCTCCACGAGCGCCTCGTGGACCTTCGAAAGGTCCGCGGCGTCCATCGCGTCGTCGCCGCCGGACACCGCGCGGACGGCCGACGCCGATTCCTGCGCGTGCGCCGCCAGCCGCGCCTCGTAGTCCGCGCGCTGCGCGTTCCAGGCCTTGCGCAGCTTCTTTTCTTCTCCGAACCTTCGGTCCGCGCGCCGCAGGTCCTCCTCGTGCGCCGCGGTCCGCTCGGCGAGCGCGTCGCGCAACGACCGCACCTCGGACCGCAACGACGCCGGCGCCGCCTGCTTCGTCTTCTTCTTCGCCGGCGGGCCGTCCGCGGCCGCCGGCTTCTCCGCGGGCGCCTCGATCAACTGCACGTCGTCGTCCTCGGGCTTCCGCTTCCGCTCGGCCTCGCGGTACGACGGCCGCAGCGCGTCGCGCGCCGACTCCTCCCAGTGCGTCGCGCAGTCGCCGCAGGCCCAGCACCGGCCCCCGCTCCGCACCTTGGCCGGGTCGCAGACGCCGACGTCGTCCGAGACGACCAAGTCGCCGTCGCCGACCCTTAAATCGTTCGCGTCGAAGGACGCCAGCCGCCCGACCTTCAACACGCCCGCGTCGCGGGTCGCGTCGAAGACGGCGAGCACGACGGCCACGTCCGAGAACTTCTTCCGGTCCGTGAGCACCGAGTCCGCGAGCAAGGGCCGCTCGCCCGACGTCACGTGCGCGACGGACGCCCGCAGCGAGATGCCGTCGCCCTGGGGCGTGAGCCAGGGCACGAGCGTCGCCGCGCCGTCGTCGTTGCGCAGTAAAGCCACGTGGCCGTCGTCGAGGTGCACGGCCGCGACGCGCGCGCCGTCGCACGCGTGCACGTGCGACACGCTCCGGAGCCGCGACCGCGACGTCTCCCCCGACGCCTTCGCCGGCAGGGGCAGCACCTCGGCGAGGAGGGGCTTCGCGCCCTTGGGCGGCGGCGCCTTGGGCGCCAAATCGCGGAGATACGCGCACCGCAGCTCGCCGCAGCCCGCGCCGAGGAGCGCGACGGCGCCGCGCTTCGTCGTCCGCGGCGGCGGCGCGGCGCTCCCCTCGTCGTCGTCGTCGTCGACGATGTCCTCCCAGCGGCTCCCCGGCACGAGCGCGCCCCGCTCGCCCTTGGTGTCGGGGATCGTGTGGTGCGGCGTCGGCCGCTCCCAGGGCCGGTCGAGCCGCCAGACGCGCAGCGGCCTACGGTGGAGTTCCCGTGTGAAAAGTCTCTCTCAAAGATATCTCGGGACGCCGGCGGCGCGCTTCTCCGCGACGCGCGTCAGCGCGCGGCAGCCGTCGGCCGCGAGCACGCCGCCGAGGAGCGCGGGCCCGCCCGCGGACTCGTGGAAGACGCAGGACCACGTCGCCTCGCCGCCCGACCCGTGCTCGGGCAGCACGACGTCCCAGACGCTCATGGACCCGTAGCCCACGCCCGAGAGCAGGCGGTAGCTCCGGAAGCGGTCCTCGCTCGCCATCGTCGCCACGGAGCACAGCCCCCGGAGCCGCGGGTCCGCCTCCCGGTGCGTCGCCACGAGCGTCGACGACGCGAAGCCGCGCGTCTCCCGGAGCTTGCGGAACGACTCCAGGTCCCAGCAGGACACGCCCTTGCCGCCCGCGCGCGCGCCCGCGAAGCCGAATTTCCCGTCGCTCGACACCTCGACGTGCACGAGCACCGCCGCGCCGTCGCGGACCCCCAAATGCCCGAGCGCGCAGCCCCAGCGGTCCTCCGGGTGCGCGTTCGCCGACGCCGCGAGGTCGAAGAGCCGCACGACGCCGGACCCGAAACCGCAGAGCACGCACGACCCGTCCGGCGCGACGGACGCGGAGACGACGGGCTCCTCCAAACCGAAGCACATCTCCTCGACGTTGCCCGACGACGTGTCGCCGCGCCAGCCGCCGCCCGCCGCGAGCCGCACGGGGCCCCGGCTCCGGACCACGGGGTCCGCGAGCGGGAACGGCGCGACGGGCGCCGGCGGCGGCCGCTCGGGCCGCGCGTCGCGGACGACGACCGGCGGCGGCGCCGGCGGGAGCGCGCGCGGCGGCGCCAGCAGCGGCGCGCGCGGCGCCAGGAGCGGCGCGCGCGGCGCGAGCGGCGCCGCGGGCTCGTGCGCCGGCGACGTCCGCAGGCGCTCGAGCCGCTCCTCGCGGCGCGCGCGCGCGTCCTTGACGGCCGGCCGCCGCGGCTGGTCCCGCGCGCGCCGGTCCCAGCCGTCGTCGTCGCTCGGCTGCCGCGCGTTCTCCGCGAGCGGCGGCGGCTTGGCCTTGGCCGCCTCGAGCAGCTTGGCGCCGCGCGAGCGGTGCATGCTTTGCGGTGCTGTCTTTGGTGCGTCGCGTGGGGTGCGGCGAGGCGCTGCTGGACTGCGGCGCGGTCGCTCTGGCCGCGTCGACGCGCAGGGTGCCTCCGGTCGGTTGGAGGAGGTCGCAAAGCTTGGTGTTTTGAAACTGCGAGATCGTCGGTCGTCGCCATTGGCTCGCGTGATCGGCGGCGCCGCGCGCGTGCCCGCCCGCCGTAGCGCGCGGGATCCTCGTAAAACTCCGCCGGCTATCACGCGCGTCCAGGAAAGCCACCTCCACTTTTCGCGCTCGTCCTTCCAGATCCACGCCGGGTGCGAGGCTCGCTGGTCGACGACGCCGAACTCGATGCCCGGGCGCGTGACCGCGGGGATGCGGGAGGCGATCTTCTGGAGGAAGATCGCGCCGAGGGGCCCGACCTTCACCGTCTTTCGTGAGGATGATCGCGACGGGCTCCAGCGACATCGTCGCCTTGTCGTCGCCCGCCGCGGCCGTAGCTCCATCGCACTCCTCGACTGCATCGACAAGTGCGAGGTGGAGTTCGAGGCGAAGCGCGAGGCGTGCCGGATCGAGTGCAACGCCGTCGCCAACGCCGGCATGGCCGGCTTCTTCTCGCTCGTCTTGCCCTCTCGCGTGCGCCGCGCGGATCTCCGCCGCGTCCGCCAGCCCCGCGCGCTTATTCTAACCCGAATCCCGGTCGCCGTGACTTCGCGCAGGGCGGAGCTTTCGCGGCGGTCTCGGAGGATCCCGTGGCACGGCTGTGCTCGTTCACATAGGTCAGCACGGCGCCCGCACCCCCGGCAACGCGCCACGAAGCTTCTCCGCTCTTGTGTGTCCTGTCCACAAACAAGAGGTGGGGTGGAGGAGCTGCCACTTCAGCACGCTGGACTCGATCAAGGACAACGAGAGCTACGCGCTCGCGGCGGAGTACGAGCAGCTCCACGACGCGCACGACACCATAGGGAACCTCTGCGCGACCCCGATGCTGGACGACGGCGACGCCGCCGACGCCAAAACGGAGGAGCAGAAAGAAGACGTCAAGATGGACGAGAAAGAGGTCGAGATCGCCGCCGGCGACGACGACTCGGAGGCGCTGCGCAACGCGGGGAACGCGAAGCTCGACGCCGGCGACTCCGCGGGCGCGCTCGAGCTCTACGAGCAGGCCGTCGCCGCGGCCGCCGACGACGACGCGCGACGCAAGGCCTACCTCAACGCGTCCGCGGCCTGCGGCGCGCTCGGCGACCAGCTGCGCGCCGAGGAGTTCGCGACGCTCGCCCTCAAGATCGCCGCTACGGACCCGCGCGCGCTCTTCCGCCGCGCGGTCGCGCGGCGGCTGCTGTTGGACTGGGAGGGCGCGTACGACGATCTGGGCGCCGCCATGGAGCTCGACCCGGACGAGCCGTCCCTGCAGAAGCGAGATGCGGCGGCTCCACCGCGACGCGCGCGACCACGAGATGGCCACGGCGAAGCGGCGGAAGACGGAGGCGATCAATTCGCTAGCGGCGAAGCTCGGGCCCGACGACGCCGTCGGCGCCGCGAAGATGAGCGACGTCGTCGCGGCCATCCAGGACCCCTTCTACGCCGAGGACCCGGGCGAGGGCAGCGGCGCGCTGGAACTGCTGAAAGCAGGCGCTGGCCTCGAACCCTCGAATCCAGAAACTCAAGGACGCGGGCTTCATTTTAGCGCTCACGTCCCCGAAGCCCTGCTCGTCGATCAACGACGCGTCGTCGCTCGCCGCGAAGCGCCGGGAGGGCGGCGGCGCGCCCTTTTTCGTCGACGCGGTCTGCCGGGGCGACGCGCCCTACGCCGACGGCGTCGCGTTCCGTTTGGTATTCGGCAGCCGGTGGCCCCTGGCGCCGCCGCGCGTCCGCGTCGCGTCGCTCTCCGCTCTGTCGATCATCGACGACGACAACGACAACCACCACGCGCGGCGCCTGGGGCTCCAGGGCTACGCGGCGATTTTGGACGCGCACGACGCGCCGGTGGCCACGTTCGACCTCGGCGCCGTCCTCTCGGCGTTCTGCGGGTCCCTCCGGGAGCCCGAGGACCCGGACGCCGCCGCGGCCTGGCGGCCCTTCGCGGCGCTCCAGATGAAGAAGCGCCGCGTCATCGACGCGTACCGCCGCGACTTTTCGGGCCACGCGTTGCCCATCTTTTTGGACATGGAGGAGAAGGACGCGTACGCTTTGGCCTTCGCGTCCGACGGCGGGAGCCCCTTCGCGGCGCCGCTCCTCCCGAAGTCCGCCCTCGCGCCGCGCCTCGCGGCCGCGCTCGAGGAGGCGTCGACCTGCGCGACGCCCGCGGCGCGCGACGCCGCGCTGGCGGGCGCGGTCGACTTTGTGTGCGACGGCGTCTACGCCTTCGACTTGTTCGCGCCCGAGTTCGTGGCGGCATTGCTCGCCGAGGTCGACGCCTTCTACGCGTCGAAGCTGCCGGCCGCGCGGCCCAACTCCATGAACAACTACGGCGTCATCGTCAACGACGTCGGCCTCGAGCCGTTCGTCAAGGCCCTCCAGGACAAGGTCTGCGGCCCGCTGGCCCAGGCGCTGTTCAAGGCGCACCCCCACGGCCACCCGGCGGCGGACTTCGACTCGACGCACTCTTTCATCGTCAAGTACCGGGGCGACGAGGACCCGCACCTCGACGTGCACACGGACGACTCCGACGTGACCTTCAACGTCTGCCTCGGCCGCGACTTCGAAGGCTGCGGCCTCGTCTTCTGCGGCATGATCGGCGCCAAGGACCACCGCCAGCACTGCAAGACCTACGAGCACCGCGTCGGCACGTGCGTCTGCCACCTCGGCTCGAAGCGCCACGGCGCGGACGACATCACGCGGGGCGAGCGCCTCAACCTCATCGTCTGGAACCACGGCCTGGCGTTCCGCGAGTCGCCGGGCGCGACGCAGCACCAGAAGAACTTCGAGAAGGAGGAGGCCGCGCCGGACCCGCGCTGCGTGTCCTACACGCACGACCGCGACTACGGCAAGTTCAAGCCCTACCCGGCGGGCAAGGAGGGCTTTCAGCAGCGCGGCTGGTGCCCGCCCCGCGGGACCGAGTACCCGGGCTTCGAGCCCGACTCGTTTTAATGGATGTGTTTGCGCCTTCGGGATCTCGAAGACAGGTCTGAGCCACCTGGCTCGGCTCGCCAAGGTACCCCACGAACCCCCCTGGATAAGCGACACAGGTCTGAGTCGGCGATCGAGTCGCTTGTGGCATTAAACTTTGTTTGCGCGCCGTGGGCTTTGAAAAAGCACACGCCGACAGGGACAGGATGGACGCGCCTGACGTTGCCGATGCGAAGCACCTCGGCCCGCGGGCGACCTCGGGTGCGAAGCGGGCCGTGGGCCTCGGTCACGGTCTCCCAGACGAGGTTCTCTTGGAAGTACTCAACTTTTCGGGCCTGCGTGAGTTTTCCGCGTGCGCCGCCGCAAGCAGTGAGATTCGGGGCGGTCTCGAGCGCCTATCGCCGGCCCTCAAACACCAGCTCGTCCTGCGCCGTTTCCCAATTCTCGCGCTGATGTTCGAGGGCGCGGAGACGACCGAATTGCCGCCGCCGCGCGAGCTCTTCGAGAGCCAGCTGCGCATGACAGTTTCACCGCCTACATATAATGCACCAACCCGCGGCTTGGACGACTACACGTTCTTTCTCGAAGTCGAAGTGCGCGATTATATTGATGGGCGAATCACGAACGCAGAAACTCTCTGGGCGGGAAAGGGCTCACTCACAAGCGCTGGGGGCTCCCATTTTCCTACTTCTGGGCCAGGCGTCGAATTCAACCTGCCCGACGACGTATTTGAACGTTTTGATGACGTGTGGTCCCATGGGAGGTTGAACCGGGGCCCAGTCCGCCGTCAGATTTGTGTGAATATCATGGCCGCGCGACGCTCGTCTGAAGGCATGCAACGAGCGCTGCTGGGTTGTGGTCCGCCAGATGATCGGGATCATGAACTGGATCGGGATTATGACGAAGCCAAGTCAGTTTATATGTTCTATGATATGACATATCAATTGATTATACACCCGTGGGTGGCACGAGCACATGAGCGTACAAGCTGATCACTACTACCTCCCTGCTGTAAGAGGAGAGTTTTCCCGTGGTGAGTCCCATGCTGATCTTGACCCACCTCGCTTCTACTTCAGCTTCGTGTGGTCTGATCCGAACGAAGACCAAGAGATGACCGTCGAAGACGCGTGCCTCGCGCTCGAGCACTACTTCACCTGGGTGTGATACTCGAGCTCCCCACTCCGTGGCACTCGTCTTAGATGCTGAGTAGTAGCTCTTACGACGCGCGCGACACCCCCCTTCCTAGTCGTAGATGAGCTCGGCCTCCTCCTCCTCGGCGGCCTCCGCCGCGGCGATCTCCGCCGGGTCGTCGAAGGAGAACGCCTTGGGCGCCTCCGTGCTTCCCGGCGCCGCGTCCGCGGAGACCTTCTGCTTCGCGGCGAAGGCGTCGTACTTGGCGAGGTCCGCGTCGGACACGGACCGGCGCGCCGTCGCCATGGCGTCCTCGAAGTGCTTCGCGCCCACGGACGTCGGGCCCTCGGCGCCGTTCGCCGCCGCGTCGACGGCGTCGCGGATCGCGAGGCGCGCGGCGCGCTTGCAGACCTCCGTGCAGTCGGCCCCCGAGAAGCCCGGCGTCGCGCGGGCCAGCAGGTCCAAATCCACGGCGCCGTCGACGGGCGAGTTGCGCAGCGCGGCCGCGAAGACCGCGCGGCGGCTCGCCTCGTCGGGCAAGGGGATGTAGACGAGCGTGTCGAGGCGGCCCGGCCGCGTGATGGCCGCGTCGAGGACCTCGGGCCGGTTCGTCGCGCCGATCACAAACACATCCTTGCGCGCGCCGACGCCGTCGATCTCCGTGAGGATCTGGTTGATGACGCGGTCGCCCGCCTCCGACGCGCCGCCCTGGCCCGAGCCGCGCGCCTTCGCGATGGCGTCGATCTCGTCGAAGAAGAGGATGCAGGGCGCGGACGCGCGCGCCTTCTCGAAGAGGTTGCGCACGTTCGCCTCGGACTCGCCGAACCACATCGTGAGGAGCTCGGGGCCCTTGATCGAGATGAAGTTCGCGCCGCACTCGTGGGCCACGGCCTGGGCCAGCAGCGTCTTGCCGCAGCCCGGCGGGCCGTAGAAGAGGACGCCCTTGGACGGCGGCAGCCCGAACTGGCGGAACTTGGCCGCGTGCTGCACGGGGTACTCCACCGTCTCCTTGAGCTCGCGCTTCACGTCCTCCAGACCGCCGACGTCGGCCCAGGACGCCTTGGGCACGGACGCCGCCGTCTCGCGGAGCGCCGACGGGTTCACGCGGTCCTTGGCCTTCTGGAAGTGCTCCATGGAGATGGACAGCTTCGCGTCCTCGCCGTAGCCCGCGAGGAGCGCGGACCGCTCGGGCGACCCCGCCGGGTAGGCCCCGCGGATGGCCTCGAAAGCCGCCTCGAGGCAGAGCTGGGCGATGTCCGCGCCGACGAAGCCGTGCGTGTCCCGCGCGAGCAACTCCAGGTCCACATCGTCCGCGAGGTTCACGTCGCGCGTCCGCACCCGCAAGACGTCGAGCCGCGCGTCCGCGTCGGGCACGCCCATGTCCACCTCCTTGTCCAAGCGGCCGTAGCGCCGCAGCAAGCCGTCGACGCCGTTGACGCGGTTCGTCGCCGCGAGGACGACGACGGCCGCGTTCGCGTGGTCGCGCTCGAGCTCGTCCATCAAATCGCAGAGCGCGCGGATCACGCGGCGCTCGTCGCCGCCGGCCTTCTTGCCGTCGCTCCGCGGCGCGATGGCGTCGACCTCGTCGAGGAAGATGAGCGACGGCGCGTGCTTGCGCGCCTCGTCGAAGGCCTTGCGCAGGTTCGCCTCCGCCTCGCCCGCCTGCTTCGAGAGGATCTCCGCGCCGTTGATGAGGAAGAAGTAGGCGCCCGTCTCCGCGGCGACGGCGCGGGCGATGGACGTCTTGCCGCAGCCCGGGGCGCCGTGGAGGAGCACGCCGCGCGGCGGCGCGACGCCGACCTTCTCGTAGAACTCGGGCCGTTTGAGGGGCGTCTCGACCAATTCCCGGACCGTCGCCAGCGCCTTGGCGATGCCGCCGAGGTCGTCGTAGCTGACCTCGTCGTCGCGGTCGTCGTCGCTGCGCATGAGCGGCTCCGCGGCGACGGCGAACTCGCAGCCCGCCTCGGGCACGACGGCCGCCTCGGCCGTCGCTCTCGCAGAACGCGGAGTCGACGTCGACGACGACGAACTCGACGGCGCGGTTGCCCGCGATGCCGTCCACCGTACACTCGATGTGGTCCCCGGGCACGACGGGCACGTTGCCGCTCGCGAAGTAGGGCTCGAGGCACCGCGCGGCGACGTCGGACCCGTCGACGCCGTCGCGCGGGAAGCCCGCGGCGCCGAGCGTGTCCGCGAAGGCCGCGACGTGGACCACCGTCGCCGCCGCGACGCCCTCGTCGACGGCGCCGACGCTCACGTCCGAGCCCACGCGCGCGCGGCAGTTGCCGCGCGCGTTCCGCGACATGGCGCACCACGCGCCGGCGAGGTCCTCGGCGCCCGCGGGCGTCGCGCCGCTCGCGGCGACGCAGAGCGTCTTGTGGGCCTTGCCCGACACGCAGACGACGTCGCCGTCGAAGATGCCGAGCTCGTCCATCTTCTCGTCGGACAAGGTGACGGCGTAGGGCGGGCTGACGTCGTCGCCCTCCTCCGGCGACGGGAAGACCTCGGCCTTGAGGGACTCGGCGCCGCCGCGCACGCCCAGCGGGCCGCGGGACCGCTGCGGGTGCAGGCGCGCCAGCGCCGGCGCGCAGAGGAGCAGCGCGATCATGGTCGCCATGCTCGATGCGCGCGGCGGCGTCGTCGGGCGAGGCTACGCGTCTTGGCTGCGATGCGAGCTTCAACTGCGAGCTGCGCGAGGCTTGCGCGACTTCATCTCGACGGCCCATCGAGTCGTGATCGACCATCGACGACGCTCCGCCGCACCACACCTCCACCCAAAAAAGAAACGTACCTTGGGACACTTAGGTAGGTTCGAATCGGAAACAACGGCGGCCTAGAAGCCGACGGTGGGGAAGCCCCCGCAAAAGGCCGCGACCTCGGCCTTGAGGTCCGCGATGGCCTTGGCGTTGTCGCCCTCGGTGATCTTGCGGCGGAAGTCCTTGAGCTTGCCGCCCTGGGACTTGACGTCGACGGCGATGGCGACGCCCTTGTCGAAGAGGTCGACGACGGTCTCGAAGTCCGCCTCCGCGAAGCCGCGGGACGTCAGCGCCGGCGCGCCCATGCGAACCTGGGCAGCACAAGGGTGATTCAACGTCGCTTCAACGTGAATGTTCCGCGCGCGCGCGTCACGAGAAAAACATCCACGCGTCGAGACCGTTCCGAGAGATGATCGCTCGTCCAAAAATTAGCCGAAACGAGTGGAAAACGGCCGAGATGGGAGCCTTTGAAGTTGGGAATTTCGCTCTCTTGTGCTGCCCTGATGCGAACCCCCGACGGCGTGAGCGCGGACTTGTCGCCCGGCACCGTGTTCTTGTTGAGGGCGATGTTCGCGAGCTCGAGGACGGCCTCGACGCGGGCGCCGTCGATCTTGCGGCTCTTCTTGAGGTCCACGAGCACGAGGTGGTTGTCCGTGCCGCCGGACACGAGCGAGTAGCCGAGGTCGCCGAGCCGCTTCTCCATGGCCTTGGAGTTGGCCAGGACCTGCTCCTGGTAGGCCTTGTACTCCGGCGTCGTCGCCTGCTTGAGGGCCGTCGCCAGCGCCGCGATGGTGTGGTTGTGGGGGCCGCCCTGGAGGCCCGGGAAGACGGAGAAGTTGATCGCCTCCTCGAAGTCGTACTCCGTGCCGTCGGCCTTGGCGCCCCTGCGGTAGAAGATCATGGCGCCGCGGGGGCCGCGCAGGGACTTGTGCGTCGTCGTCGTCACGACGTCCGCCGTGTCGAAGGGCGACGGCACGACGCCCGACGCGACGAGCCCCGAGATGTGCGCCATGTCCGCGAGCAGGTACGCGCCGTTGTCGTCGCAGATCTTGCGCATGGCGTCGTAGTCGATGAGGCGCGAGTAGGCCGACGCGCCGGCGATGATCATCTTCGGCCGGTAGAGCGCCGCGTTCGCCGCGAGCGCCTCGTAGTCGATGAGCCCCGTCGACTCGTCGAGCCGGTAGGGGAACGTCTCGAAGAAGACGGACGTCGCCGAGATCTTCTTCGTCGGCGTCTGGAAGCCGTGGGACAGGTGGCCGCCGTGGGGCAGGTCCAGGCCCATGACGCGCTCGTGGGGCTGGAGCAGCGCCGTGTAGACCTGGAAGTTCGCGGGCGACCCCGAGAGCGTCTGCACGTTCACGCCCCACTGCTCCGGGTCGAGGTTGAAGCACTCGAGAGCCCGGTTCTGGCACATGATCTCGACCTTGTCGATGTGCTCGTTGCCGCCGTAGTAGCGCGCGTTCGGGTAGCCCTCGCTGTACTTGTTCGACATGACGCTGCCGAGCGCGTCGAAGACGCTCTTCGACGTGAAGTTCTCGGACGCGATGAGCACGAGCGAGTCGCGCTGGCGCACCTTCTCCATCTCGATGATGTCGTAGAGCTCCTTGTCCGTCTCGACGAGGGGCTTGTTCAGCGCCGCGCCCTACGGAAAGCGAGTGTTTGTACCAGGCCACGTCGATTGCGCGCGGCGATGGGTTCGCGGGCTTTTCGCGGCGATGAGGGCGGCGCGCGACGGTGGACGCACCGAGATGGCGCGCGCCTCGCCGCGCAGCGCGCGGCCGGCGACTCGCTTGGCGGCGGTGGTGAGCATGATCGCGGCGCCGTAGAAGCTGTCGAGCTGCGATTGCACCGAGTGGGCGTGAGATTGTTGCACTAAACGCAACGATGTTGCCGAACGGGCCCCTGCGCGACGGTCCGGCCCCGGGACGGGGGGCGGGGACGGCGGGCACGGGGGTTCCGGCACGGTAAATGCGCTCAGGGCACGCGGCCCGGCACGGGCCCGGCACGCGGCACGGCACTCGGCACGGGCCCCCGGGCACGGGCCGGGCACGGGCCACGCGGCCCGGCACGGGCCCGGCACTCGGCACGGGCCCCGGGCACGGGCCGGGCACGGGCCGGGGAGGCCCGGCACGGGCCCGGCACGGGGCCCCGGGCACGGCCCGGGCACGGGCCGGGGACGTGGCCGGGGACCGCGGCACGCACCGTCGCGCAGGGGCCCCTTGCCGATCGGGCGCGGCGCGCAGCGATCGGACCGGCCCTTTTTTGGCGGCTGCCCCACGGAGCGTCGGGCAGGGTCGAGAATTCTACCCGAAAAGCCTTCGTACCAAGCCCTCCCCTTTGCCGCACTCCGCGCCCCGCGCGCCCGCGCTCCCGCGCTGCCGCACGAAGAACGGCTTCCACCGCAGCGACGCAGCGACCCTCGAGACAGACACGAAACCCCGAGCAGCAAAAAAAAGGGAAAAAGAGGCATGTGTAGACAGACAGGGGGAGCGGCGCGCCGCGGGCGTCCGCGGGCGGAGGGCGGTTTTCCCGGCTCCGTCTACTTCGTCGCTTCCGCCGGAGAGAAGGGGTTTGGGATGGAGTTGTAGACGTCGTAGGCGTAGGCCGTCGGCGAGAAGGCCTCCTCCTCCGCGACCTCGGCCTTGAGCGGCGTCGTCGGCTCCGAGGGCGGCGTCTCCGGGACGGCCTCGACGGCCTCGGCCGTGACGACCTTGATCGCCTCGGAGCGCTCCCCGCTGCCCGCGGCCGTACAGCACCCGAACATCCTGCGCGGCGCCTGCGCGCGGGGCCGCGGAGATTCGCCGAACGTTCGACGCGGCGTTAAGGGTGGGGCAGGGGAGTTCGGCGGCGATCCGGAGTCGACCCCCGGTTCCTGACGGCGGGTCCGGCGTCCTCCCGCCCCCCCGGCGCCGCGGCGTCCCCAGGGGGGTTCGGGACGCGGGTCGGGACGGCGGGATATTTATCGCAGCAGAGGTGGGCTGCTGGTGCTCGATGCGGTGGCCAAAAGGAAGACTTCGGCTTGTTGAACGCCAACGCGCGTCGTCGTCCTTGAGGCCAGTGCGCAATGAGATCGACGCATTATCGCACGTAGCCGCTGGCCGTCTCTCGAGCATGCAGCTCCTCGTGTTCCTCTGCGCCGCCGCCGCCGTCGGCGCTCGGCCGCGGCTCGGGCCGACGCCGCTCCAGCCGCAGCGCGCGCCGCGGGATGCGTCGCCGAGCACTGCGGTCCTCGCCGTGCCGCGCGGCGGCGACGCGCAGGACTTCGCGCGCACGGCCACGCCCGTCGCGCGCGGGGGCGGCGCCTTCAGCTTCCGACCCGCGCGGAAGATCCAGCTCCTCATGCTCATGAGCGACACGGGCGGCGGCCACCGCGCTTCCGCGAACGCCTTGGCGCAGGCGCTGCACCGGCAGCACCCGGGCAAGTTCGAGGTCACGCTCATGGACATCTGGAGCGAGAGCGGCGTCTTCCCCTGGAACACGGCGCCGAGCGCCTACCGCTTCATGGGCAAGCGGCCCTGGCTCTGGCGCTTCCTCTGGTATTCCACGGCCGCGTACCCGCTCCGCGCGCCGGGCAGGCTCGTGCACGACTTCCAGCTGCGCAAGCGCTTCAAGTCGCTCCTCCTGGAGGCGGACCCGGACGTCATCGTGTCCGTGCACCCCATGTGCCAGCACGTGCCGCTGTCCGCGCGCGACTGGCTCGCGGCCCGGAAGAACGAGAGCGTCGTCTTCGCGACGGTCGTCACGGACCTGGGCAGCGCGCACCCCATGTGGTTCGACTCGCGGGTCGACGCCTGCTTCGTGCCGACGCAGCGGCTCGTGAAGCTCGGCAAGTTCCACGGCGTGCCCGACGGCAAAATCGTGAACCACGGCCTGCCGCTCCGCGCGGCGTTCTGCGGCCGGTCCAGCGCGAAGCAGGGGCCCCTGCGCAAGGCCCTGGCGCGGCGCAAGCTCGGCCTCGACTTCGCGCGGACCGTGCTCGTCACGGGCGGCGGCGACGGCTTCGGCGCGCTGCCGAAGATCGTCGACGCGACGGCGCGCGAACTGAGCCGCCTCGCGATGACGACGGGCAAGCCGCTCCAGCTCGTGGTCATCTGCGGCCGCAACGAGCGCGTGCGCCGCGACTTCGCGAAGCGCGACTGGGCCGCCGAGTTCCCGGGCGTGTCCGTCGTCGTGAAAGGGTTCGTGAAGAACATGGAGACGTGGATGGCCGCGTCGGACGTGCTGTTGACCAAGGCCGGGCCGGGCACCATCGCCGAGGCCGCGGCGCTGGGGCTGCCCGTGCTCCTCACGGGCTTCCTGCCGGGCCAGGAGCGGGGCAACGTCCAGTGGGTCGTCGACAAAAAGTTCGGCGCGCTCCGCAAAAGGCCGCGCGCCGCCGCGCGGACGCTCGCGGGCTGGCTCCGCGACGGCCGCGCGCTCGACGCCATGTCGGCCAACGCCCTCGCGTCCGCCAAGCCCATGGCCACGGACCGCATCGCCGCCGACCTGTGGGACCTCCTCGCCCGCGCGCGGCGCTGAGCGCCCGCCCGCCCGGGGGTCTCGTTCGCCGCCCCTCTCGTCGTAATCCCTAGTGATATCCTTTCGGCCTCGGCGTCGGGCGCCGGCGAGGGGGTGCTTGGGTTCTTGCTGCGTGCGACGTCTCGCGCGTCTCGCCGTGCACGCCGTGCTCGCGGTAGGTCATCGGGCGAATTTTGCAAAACTGAGGGTCGCATTAAATTTACCGCAAAACTGAGGGTGGTGAGCGATGGCGCTTGACGCGGCCGTCAAATTTTTCGACGAGCCTCGGGTCTGCGGCGCCTGCGGCTCATCCAATTCGACGAAGGTCTGCGGGGGTTGCCGTGAGCAGGTCTACTGCTCTCTCGAATGTGCGCACCCCTACCCCCCGCGCGGCGCCGTCCGCCGCGCCGGCGCCGACCCCGCGCGCCCCCGACGCAGGCCAGCGCGATCACTGGCGCGAGCACCAGACGCAGTGCCGCAAGAAGTTCCCAGTAAGGAGATGGCCGGCCGCGTCGTTTGGCGAGGTCGGCGGCGCCGCGCCGGACGCGTCGAGCGGCGACAAGAAGAAGAAGAAGACGGCCGCGGAGCCGACCGCGAAATTGAGTCTTGATTATAGCAAGTCGGAGGACCGCGAGCCTTCTTCCGAGGAAATTGACAGGGTCATTGGTGATATAATCGGTCTGAGTAAGGAAGAGCGCGATACAGTCGTCGACAAGCTCAACGCGGTCTGTCCGGAGGCCATCAAACGTCGTGACAAAAGCTTTCCTGAGATCGCCTACGATGCCATGGACAATCGCACTTTCCATGCCTTCAAAGCAGCAGTTGAAGATTACCTCCCGGTGGAGCTGCTGGAGCTCGATTTGCCGCAAGGGGTCGACACTTACTCAGTGCAAATACTGCGAAATTGCTGCGTGTATTCCCACGGATTATTTATTGAGGCCGAGGTGCCGGAGCGCTTCGATCATCTAGTCCATGGCGTGCGAGAGTACGCGAGGGGCTCTCTGAGCGCGGAGGATCTGAGCGCATGGCTTCAGGGCGTTTACGATTTCACGCGCGATGACGTTCTGCTCAAAGACATCATCGATTGTATGCGACGGGCGTATCCCGACTCACAGCGCGCTGAATATTCGCGCGCGATCGCCGAGGCCAAGGTGCGCGTGGAGGCCGAGGTCAAGGCGCGCACGGAGGCCGAGGCCGGGCGGCCTCCGAAGCCGCTCACCGGCGCGGCCGCGCTTTTGCAGACGCTGGACGAGTTCAGGATCAAAAACGGCGGCGTCGACGACCCATATTATGCGGCAATGCGCAGCGCGCTCGAGGAGCTGGACATCGAGGAGCGCGGGGCGTGCCCGGAGGACGCGTAATACCCCTTCTTTTTCTAAAAACACCACTTTTTACATGATCTCCTTGAACTGGGCCTCGGTGATGTAGGTGCCGATGAGCCGCGCGCGCTTGCCGCCGTGCTGGATGACGCCGTTGTGGGCGCAGGAGATGTAGCCGAGGAGGCTCTTGCAGAGCTTGTCGACCTTGTTCCCGAGCGGCCGCGTCTTCGGCGCGAGGAGGTCCGCGGACGGCCGGCGCTCGCTGAACTTCTCGCGCTCCTCGGGCAGCATCTTCTGGACCTTGAACTCGTAGTCGATCATGTTGATGGCGCCGCAGTCCGCCACCATCTCGTCCGTGGGGACGTTCGTCATGTCCGCGACGCGCGCCAACGCCTCGAGGAACTCGACCCACGACAGCGTCATGAACTTGTGGCGGCTCTTGACCTCGTCCGCGACGACCATGCGCGACCAGAAGAAGCAGAGCCGCGCCTCGCGCACCGTCAGTTCGTCGCCGATGAGCCGGCCGTCGTTCAGCACCGTGACCCACTCCATGAGGCTGAAGCTCGGCCGGCCGCCGTCGGGCTTGAGCATCGCGTACTTGTCGTAGACGATGCGCAGGGGCTTCAGGTGCGGCTTGAAGCCGTCCTCGACCTCCTCGAAGTACAAGCGGTCCCGCCGGAAGTCGTCCGTGTCCAGGATCGACTCCGGCGTGACGTTGCGCAGGACGACGTCGTCGAAGAGCGCGTCGACGCACTCGGACACGTCGTCGATGTCCTTCTTGAAGCGCGCGTGGGCCATGCGCACGAGGCACTCGATGAACTCGTAGCGCATGAGCGCCTTGTCCTCGTTCATGTCGCTCTGCTCGCTCTTCTTGTCCGCCTCGAAGTTGCAGACGATGAAGACCTTCTTGCACTCGTCGAACGTGCACGCCGTCGTCTCGTCGGGGATGCCCGTCTCCTGGAGCATGAGGTTGTAGGAGTTCTGGGAGATGCTGAAGGCCGCCTTAGTGAGGATGGACGAGCAGGCGCAGTAGTAGTCGAAGAGGCGCAGCACCGTCGCGTAGCGCCCCGCGAAGGCCTTCCGGATGTCCTCGAGCTCGTCGTCGATGGACTCGCCGCCCTTGACGCCCTCGTCCATCTTGCGCACGAACTTGTGGAAGCGGTCCTCGGCGAGGACCATGCGCCAGTCGCAGGCGAGGGCCTTGGCCAGGACGTTCTCCGCGTCGAGGAACTGGCGGCTGTCCGCCTCTTTGAGGCGCGGCGCGAACATGGACGTCTCGAGCTTCCAGGCGGGCTTCTCCGGCTCGGGCTCGGGCGCCGCCTCGGGTTCCGGCTCGGGCTCGGGCGCCTTGGCGTGCTGCTTCACGTGGACGGTCATGGGCTCCGCGGGGATGCCGCCGTAGACGCCCGACGACGCGCACAACACGAGCGCGTGGCGCTTCATCTCCGGCAGCGCGTCCATGAGCGGGTTGTGGGACCGCGGGTTCGAGTCGCCGTCGGGCACGGCCGGGGGCTGCGTCGGCGGCGCGGCCTGCCAGAGCTCGCCGAGCGCGCCCGGCGCGCGCGGCGGCACGGCCACGCCCGGATCCGACGCCTCGGCGACGACGTGGGACTGGTAGTAGAGGTAGCAGTGCTCGTAGGACTCGCCCCCGTCGCCGAGCGTGAGGACGTCGGCGGTCTTTTCCCCGGGCGCGTGGGCGAAGGTGTACTCCTGGAAGAGGCCGCTGTAGACGCGCGCCCCGGGCGTGCGGTCGAACTTGCAGAGCCGCGGGCCCCTCGCCCCCGGCCCCCGGCCGGCCTTCTTGTTGAACTCCTCGAGCTTCGCCGTCGCGTCGTCGTCGCCGAGGTCGTCGTCGTGCGTGTAGTAGCCCTCCTCCGTGAGCTTCGCGGCCGTCATGCCCGCGATCGCGCCCTCGGCCTTGCGGTTCAGCTCTTCCGCCTTCTTCACGTTGCTGTAGAGCTTCTGGGGCGCCACGTCCGTCACGCCGACCTGGGCCGGCGGCACCTGGAGCTTCGGCGGCGGCGCGTGGAAGCGCACGCGGCACCGGTCCAAATGGACGACGCGCGGGCTGCTCACCATCGCCGCGGACCGGTCGACGTGCCCAAAGTCGCCGTCCTTGCGGAAGCGGAGCACCGTGGGCCCCCAGCGGTCGTCGCCCTGCATGTCGCGCCACGTGCCGTCGCCGGAGAGCGGGCCCGCGCGGTTGCTGGACCGGAGCGGACTCCGGGGCCGGAGCGCGAGCGCCTCCGCGACTGGCGACGACGGGCGCGCGTGGGCCGTCAGCGACGACAGGTCGGACGCGATGGACCGGCGGCCGTGGTCGTCGTCGTCGTCGCCGCGCATGATCGACGACTTGGACGGGCGCCGCCGCCGGTCGTGCGCGGGCAGCACCGCGGCGCGCTCCGGCGGCGAGATGCCCGGCGACCGCCGGAGCGACTCCGCGGGCGCCGTGCCGGGCCGCGACGACGAGGCCACGGACCCGAAGGGCGCGCCGAAGTTCGGCGTGCCCCCGGGGTAGAGCTGCTTCGACTTGGGCGGCGACAGGTCCACGCCGTGGACGACCTGGTGGTCGATGGGCGGCGCGTCCCACAGGCGGCTCACGGGCTGCTGGAAGCTCCGCTGGAGCTTGCGCAGGATGCGCGCGTCGGGCCGCGCGGACCCGAAGGGCTCGGACTTGACCGTGCGCCGCGCGGGGCCGTCGGACGTCCGCGGTCTTTCGGCGGACTTTTTCGCCGCGCGCGCCATGGCGGGGTTCCGCATGAAGTTCCTCAGGGACTCGGCGTCGGTGATGGACGCCGTCGTCCCGTCGCCAAAGTCCGGCGGCGCCGCCGACGGCTCCAGCGACCGCTTCTTGACCTTGTGCAGGGCCAGGGACCCGCGCGACAGCTGCAGCGCGAACATCATCGACCGGACCTCCGCGGTCTTGGAGAGGTTCGCCAGGATCGACTGGGCGAACCGCGCCTCGACGTCGCGCTGCTTGACCTTGTCCTCCTCGTTCCACTGGCTCAAAAAGTCCTCGACGAAGGACATGTTCTGCGTCGAGTCGTCGTCGTCGCGCGCGGGGAACGTCGCCGCGTCCGGGCCGTCGTCCAGGT